ATATATATATCAGCGGGCCCATGCGAACTACCCAAACCACCACACAATTAATGCCACATCAGCACAAACATGCCCCACCCCAACCTACCATCACACATCAGTCACCCTCAACCATCCCCCTCCCCTACACACTTTCTCTTACACACAGTTCATACACTGAAAGACGCACAAAACACACACACAGATGAACTCACACCATGTCGGTCACGACACCTTCTGCCGCCTCCAACCACCGCCACCGCCGCATCTCGCAACCCACCAATTACCATCCTATCATAGAGCCTGCCGAGCGTACACACACACACACACACACATAGCAATGCACAGTCGTAGCCACGTCGTCTGCAGCCTCCATCCACCGCCGTCGTGGTGCCACCGCAACCCACGTGTCGTCAATAGATGCACAACTCGTCAGTCGTCGTCGAGTGATAGAGTCCGCAGCGCGTACACGCACAACTGTACCCACCGGCCGTCGCCTCAGAAAGGCACCTTACGCCGATGCACCACCCAACGACGCCACAACCACCACCCGCCATCGCCGCACACTCCTTGTCGTCATCTGTGCCGCCTCCAAAATACATCACAGTCTGGCAAGCCTACCCGCCAGAAAAGAAGATCACAACCACAAATTTTCTGAAAATAGGGATTGAGGAAGAAGGGTCTAATTCAAAAATTAGGGGAGGAGTGGGCATTTTTTGAAAATTAAGCATTTTGAAGGGGTCTATTTGAAAAATAAGAATATACGACTCTATTACAATTCAATTTATGGGTTAATAAGCAAATTAATGAAAATCAATAGTTGTTATTTATGTATCAGTTTGAATCTTCGGTTCAGACTACAAGTTTCGGTTAGAATATCTTAAATATCGGTCTAATTATTTATTTTTATTTTTAAAATTTCAGTTATCTCGGTTTGATGTCGTCATTATTTTTTTAAAATAACAGAACCGATCGAATTATGAAAAATATTATTTTTGTTATTTTCGTATTCATATCTATTATATATTTTCAACCGAAAATAACATAAAGTGTATAAAAATAATAAAATACTTAATATATTTTAGTAAACATAAATAAGAAATTATTTAAATATTTGGTCAACTAACCGAATAAGCATATTAGTTTGTTCGATTTTAGTTTTGATTGCACATTAAAAAAAACGAATGTACAATAATATTAAACGATATTGAACACGATGTACATTAGTGACTATTGTATTGCACAATAATGATAGACTGATTGCACATTAACGTGTTCGAGAATGCACATACCAGTGTGTATTTTCACTTATATTACAATTTTGATTATTTCAGTCTGATTTTGACTTTATTTAAAAATAATTAAATAAAATAAAATAAAGAATTTCGCAAACCAATCGAACTATATCAAAAATTATATTTTTATATTTTATCAATATATATATTTTTTTTCAACGAACAATAATATAAAAATAGATAAAAATATAAAAGTTGAATATATTTTTATTATATAAATAAATTGATAAATGAACAATAATGTTGATAAAAAAATACACATTATCTTCTTTGATATTTCTATAATATATTTGTTCAACTTAAAGATAATATTACAATTTGTTAAATAAAATTATTAAAATGCTAAATATAATTTTAATATATATATAATAAATTATTTCGATTACT